TATATATATATATATATATATATATATATATATATATATATATTTTTTTTTTTTATATTTCTATGTAATTTACCTTGCAGCCCTCGCATGTGAATGCTCCAAAATGAAAACCAGCCGCTGGTTCGCCGCATACTTTGCACAGCTGGTTCATCTGAAATGGATAATTGATTGATTTATTTTTGAGGTGAGGATTTATGCATTGAACTATGGTAGGTATAAGTATAAATAATGAATCATTAGATTATGACAACAAATGATTTTTACGATGAACCAATTTCCGATCGTATTATAAATGTCGAAAATTTGTTTAAAAACATTTCTAACATATTTTTTGGATTTTATATATATATATTTTTTTAAATTTATTTTTTTTTCTACCTCAATATATGTTATGTTCTTTAAACTCTTTCTTTTATTTATGACAATAGTTAATATTCTTATTTTGTATGAGTATACTGCAAAATATAATGATTTATAATCGGAATAACTCGTATAAAATCATTGAAACACATCGCTTAAAATGTAATTGAAATTCATTTCATTCTCAATTTTTTATGAACAAAGGGAAGTTTGAGTAATTGAAGCCCCAATAAAAAGTATATAACCGAAAATAGAATAAAAACCTTATAAATCTAAAAATGTATCATTTGTAATTTTAAAATTCGTATTGACTTATCTATCTAGATACCAATAGTTAACATCTTGTAAAACCCTTTCTGTTTATTGATGAGCAGCTTGTCCGGCTTACAGAGAATACCTCGCTCACACACGAGGCAACTGCAGCAGTGAAAATACTTAACAGCAACAAAATAATAACAAGCAGGAGAAGAAGAAGCAGCAGCATCAGCGGCAGCAGCATAACCGATGACCCACTGCGTTTCTCTTTACTTCGCTTCTTCTTTTTTTTTGTGTTGAATTTTGTATTTTGAGCTTTTGGCACAGGTCGTGGTTAGAAATTGAGGTATGCGACGACCGGTTTGGGCTGGCACCGCCGTCCGAGACGTCCGAGACAGGGTAACGACAACTCGATTCCCGGCCTGGTCGCACCTCCCTCTGCAAGAGGATGGGTCGTGTTCACACATCTAATGTACGTAGTTACTTGTTTTCTATGCTCATAAAGCTAAGGTCAAGAAGAAGAAGAAAAAAGAATCCAATAGCAACAACAAAAACTGGGAAAATGCATGCGCAAACATTTGGCGTCAATTATTTGATCAATGTGGAAATTTTTGGAAATTTTGCAATAGTTTTCACTCTAAGGGAATCGAAATGAAGCTTGACAAGCTAATAAAATGGGATAAATTGATTAGATAAGCTCTTTCTGGTGTCGAAGGTTCTATCAGTCGAACATCTAGTTTGTGATTAAATGGAAAGAGTCTTCAGATCTTACGATTGGTTAAACTAATAATTTTTTTTTTTTTTGTCTTGAGATAAAGGGCATTTAGTCAAGGAAATTCAGATCAATCTATATTGTAAAGCATTATTTTTATATATAGTTCTATACATATATGGGAATATGCTCAAGCTGTATAAGATTGATAAACAGAGAGTGTTGAGATTTAGAGATTTGATTGTTTGAGAATTTGAAGCGCTAAGCTGTAAATAAATATATTTTATAATTTATCTTAAAAAAAAAAAAAGAGAATTTGAAACGAGAGAGAGACCTAATGGATTTACTGCTGCCAACAAAAATCTCTGCTTCATATGGAGTAAAATAAGTTACAGTGACAGAGACTGAGAGGGGCGTAGGCTGTTATATAGCTGAAGTATAGTGTGACACCAAAGTATTCTCTTAAATTAAACAATAAATAAGCCGATTAGTATCTTATTTTTAACTAAACATTAAATTACCCTAATAAAAACTTTTTTTAATATACATCTAAAAATAGTTATTAAATGGTTGTACAGTAACCCATAGTAACTTCAAAAATAAAAATATTTTTATATAATATAAAATTTCAAATGATTTAAATTATGAAATCATTGTTTTATTGTTTTTAGTATTCTTTTTTTAACCATTTGTTATTCCAAATTAAACTGATTGAAAGCATTTCAATTCTGTTCTTTCTTAGTTCCATTTTTTTATAGATATTAATTTGTTCAAGTAATAAATTATTTGGTCGGAAAACAATAGTATAATATTTTGAAATATAAAATATAAAAGAAATTATTAATTTCTTGTCTTAAGATCACTCAAAAACTTTGACAAGGCAGATCTATGGAGTTCTAGGATTTGCTTTCGTTTAAAGGGAAGCGCTTAAAATAAAAGTTTAGCTGCGATGGGCATCAAGATCTAAGCACAAAGTAGTTGAGTTTTTGGGTCGTCTGCTGGCTTTTCGGCTTTTCGGCTTTTCCTTTGGCACTTTGTTGGGTTTTCGCCGTGGGCATTGGCAGTGCCATCGCCTTGGTCGATCGCCATTCAGTTTTCTTCTTATTTATTTTTGTACTTATGTATATATGTATATACTTATGTGTGTATATAGGTTTTCTGGAAAAGCGCACCGCTGTGCCTAAAATTGTCACGGTTTTCTGTGAAGGTGCAAATTTAATGTTTGCCAATTTAGCAGCGCTCGCTGTCACCTTTGGTGTCCATTAGCGCGCGTTTATATGCAAAGTGGCGGTCTGGCGTGTTCGCCATTATCACAGGAGCAGCATCACGCCGGGCCACCACCTGCTGAGCGCTGGCCGCAACTGCCAAGCGCGATGCGCCCTCCTGCCCATCCAAACGGTGTCAAGATATGGACACAATAACGAACTTACCGGCAACGGGAATGGAGATCCGAATGCGAATGCGAATGGCAATGGGAATGGGAATGGACAGAAGGGTGTGGGTATGGCTATGGGTACGGGTACGGGATGGTAACCCAGCATCAACAGTGCAAGACGTGAAGTGCTTATGCTTAATGCTTGGCATTTCCGCACTCTGGCACTTGGCATTGGGTCACAGCTCTCTTTCGCTCTGCTAACTGATGCCTCAAATTATATATTAACTTAAAATTATCGAGATATTTTAAAGATTTACATATACAGTTATGTTAACTTGGTTTCGAGTTGTGGCATATCAGTCCTTATATTAGCTTGAACTTTGCATGTTGTATGGGTTAAATAAACTATTTTGATATTGATTTTAAAAAAAATTTTGTTTGTGCATATTTTGACTTGAATATGTATATATATTTGATATATTTGTTATATTATTTTGTTTATATTTTATACATGTTTTTTTTTTTTTTTTTAGACATATTCTAATAGCAGCTGAAGTAAAAGCCGCAAAATATTCCTAACCTTCATATAAATATAATAACCAATTATATAATTTATTTATTAATTATATTAATCAATTGGGGACAGTATTTATCTGCTTTCAGCTGGATTTTAAATTTGTTTTGAATAAAGGTCGAAATGTCCAGTAATAATCAACAAATATCCAGTTAATTTCGATTAGAGTTTAACACAACGAATTCTGATTATATGTCATCTGCCTTAAGTACACAGCGAGAGCTTAACGTTAAGTCTTACATTTTTTATTACTTGTAGCAAAAAGTAAACTTTAATCAGTGTGCTGGAAAATTACCAACTTTGGCAACTTTAGCTGTCGATTGCAGTCAACGAGTCGAGTACCTCCGAATACGAGTTTTCTGCCTGAAAGTTTTTGCTTTGGGTTTTTATTCGGAATTTTTGTTTGCTGTTCGCTGAGAACAGAAGCAAACCGAATCTCAATCATTTGGCAACAATGAGAACAAGATCAGTTGTGCATATATAGGTACATTGGACAAGCTCATCAAGTAGCCGTTGACAGAGGCGAGCGGCGCAGGATTTTCAGCAATAAGCATGGCAAAGAATAATAAACAGAAATGTGTCCTTTAAAGCAAACAAAATGTTGTACACTGCAAATCAGATAAAAGCCATTTATCCCGCTGAACAAGAGCAGTAGCAGCAGCAGCAGGAGCAGGAGCAAGAGCCTTTCGAACGAGACCCAAAAACAAAAAAAAAAGAGGTGTTCAAACAAGCAAACCACGATTGTTGAAAAATATTTTGCAGCAGATACAAAATAGAACAAGGCGAGGCAAAACAGGCAAACAGGAGCAGAGCGGACGAATACCAGCTCGAGATCAACTCAAATATCGGTGACACAGAGTGAGCGAGAAAGGGAGCGAGAGTGAGTGAGAGAGGGTGAGCATACAATAAACAATTGCCCATAATATGCTTTATTATTAGCCTCTGCCAAAAGACGTCGCAATATGCAAATCCATTCAACAGAGTCACACGCTCTAGTTTGAATTGTTCGCTTCCTGACTGCCAGCCAGCTCTCTCTCTCTCTCTCGTTCTCTCTCTCTCTCTCTCTGTCAGCCTTGCCTACTCGGGGCTCTGTCGAACAGCTTCCTTAGCCCTTTTCTGCTTGATTGCCAGCAGCAGTCAGACAATTAAATGTTTGAAAATCTTCAAGTTTTTTTCTTTTCTTTTTTTGTGTCGTCTCTCGTCGCCCTTTTGTAATAATTTCTTGACACTTATCGCACAAAAGGCAATAACATAATTAATGAGCATGTCAATGAGTGTCTTTTGTTTCTCAGTTACGCTTCCTGAATGTAGTCGCTTAGCTAATCCCTTGGGCATGACACGGCCAGAGTCTCGCCGCTATGCAAACTGGTTGCCTTCGATATCCTTCAGATATCATCCAATTGATATTCCAATACGGACTCCATTGCCTCCGTTTAGTAATGCATTAGCATATGTATTAATATTTATAAATGATGTATTATGTAAACAGTTTTATCTGATTTTAATAACAACTATGACTAACTAGCCATAAATCAGTTAAATGTCAATGAATGTAATAAACAGTTTCTAGAATGATGAGAATGATGAGCACAAGCATGATCGCCTTATAGAATATATGCATATATATAACTTAGCATATATATTATAAATGTTATTAATTATTTTTTAATTCGATTTCATTCACTCACCTTTTCACAATATTCTTATGCAGTAAACTGCATAAAATCTTTAATTTTAAATATTTCTCAGCTCTAGTTTTAGTTTTAATTTTTGTATATTTTATAATATATTTAATTTTTTAATTTTTATACTTCAGTTAACAGAGATATTAACTTTTACACAAATCACACTTTTTCCATATGCATAAATATTTCACAATTATTTTTAATAAAATTATTCACACGATTGCATTATGTGTAACACTTTTCCAGTTGCTTTATTTTGGCGACGGCTTTTCACAAGACTTGGTAGGTCGCAGGTCGTGCGTCGTGATTTGTGAGTCACGTGCGCGTACCGTTACCGAAGAGCGCGTGTATCCTCACGTACAACAGTTTCAGTTAGCGGTATTCTGCAGCCTTGCGATGCTTTGCAGCGTAGCGCCCATCCGAGACTAAACCGTCATCATCGTTCTGAGCTCCAACCAGCCGACTGACTGGCCCTGGCCTCAAAGATCATCAGCCAGCAACAGCAGCAAGCAGCAGCAGCCAGCAGCATTTGAAGTCGCGCGCGCACGCGTCTTCACTGTATTACGTATATGTGTGTGTGTGTGAGTGAGTGAGCGAGATTTTGTATAACAGCCCAGTCGGACACTTAAAGGCAAAATGATATGGTATATGCGATGCTGCTGGAAGTAGATAATACATTGAAAAATAACATTAAATAAATAAATTATTTAAATATTAAAGTTTTAAGGAACAAATAATTTTTTTTTACTATAAATTAATTTAATACTAAAATGAAAGCAAATTAATGTACTTATTAATTATTTGATATTGTTATTGAATTACTTATTTAAAATAAAAATTAAATTTTAATTTTTTCTAGAATATTTAATTAATTAACGTTAAATTTAATATTTGCTCATAATATTTAAAGTTCAGCTATATATCTTTTCTTTCAAAAACAATGTACATATATAAATATTTTAAAAAATTAACATACGAAAATTTTTTACTTGTCAAATTTAGAAAAATGAATACGTTAAGTTAATGTAGGCTTTAACAATTTCTTAATCAATTTTTTTTATTAAAATAAAACTTAAATGAAACAAATGCTAAGTATTCATATCATAAAATGTATGTCAGCATAAGCTATAAAAAGCTGAAGTCCATGCAAATCATAGTCTACATGTCGGAAAGTAAATTGACAACTTTAATAAAAATTAACAACATGTTAATAAACTAAATTTATATATTTTTTTAATTTGGTAAAAAAATCATCGTACATCTGAGCTCAATAAAAATGTGTTTCTATTATTTATACTTTAATTTAAGAAACACTGCTTACAACTGACTTTTAGCATGCTGAAGCACTGAAAATTCAGTTACTTGCTTTACAGAGCGCAAGCGCCAATTTCCTGTTTACAAGCGGCAGCAGCAGCTGCTTCTGTTAATGTTATGTGCTGCGAACTGTTAAGAGTCGCGTTGATGTTTTTGTTGTTGATTTTGCTGCTGCTGCTGCTGCTGCTGCTGCTGCGGCTGCGGCTGCTCTTTGTGTGCTCTGCTCTTTGCGCTCTTCATGCTGAATTGTGGTTGGCTGTTGGCAGCGGCACGATCCGCCAGCGTTCGTTTGTTTTCATTGAATTTCTCGATGTGGTTGGCTGTTGATTTTTTTCATACGAATTGCTTTTGTTGTTGCGTTTGACTTTACACACAGTACAGTTATTATCGCGCGATTGCATGCGCCACTGTTGCTGCTACGTTGTGAGTGTGTGTGCCTCTCTCAGCGTGTGTGTGTGTGTGTGCCTGAGTGTTTTTATTGTAAATGTGCATCCATTTGTATTCGTATTGGACTAATGTGGCAAAGAGGTGGGCACTTAATGCCCGCCGAGCTGTGTAAATAAAAGCGCAGAGAGACCGAACAACATTTTCTAACGAAATTAGTAGCTTGTTTACAAAATGGTGAAAACGAGTTTGTCGCTTAAGTCTTTCGTTTAATGGCACTAAATAAAGTTGTGAATTCGAAGTACACACTATGTATATATGTTCAACACAGTCGACAAGTGACCCTTAGCCCAAAGGGGATATTCTAGATGAGAACAAACTATTCAGTATTATATAGTATTGAGAGTATTATTGAAGGAGCTCAGTAGTCAAGAGTTTTTACTTGTAATACAGTCCAATCTCGCTAAATCTAAAATCGAGATAAATCGAAATAATTCTTTCCCCTTAAAATATTCATTCGTGATAATTGTCGATAATTTGAACTTCTGTGTAAATCTAAAATAACTGATCCCCATTTCAAATTATCAGAACTCGACTGTAATAGTTGCCAGCTGATGCTGGTCAAGTCAGTAGCCAAGTGTCGTTTGTTCATTTCCCGGCCAGAAACAATTCGAGCAGCGCCTTTAACGCATTTTTCTATACCTAATTGAATTCTCTTGTCATAAGCCAGATTGCGAGCGCAGGCTGATCCTAGGGCAAGTGCTCAGGCCTGATCTAAGCTCAGAGCTGGAGCTGGGTCCAACTGGAGACTCACTTGTGTCACTTCATGATGATGATGATTTCATTTTAATAATACCACTTGCAGTTGCATGGCCGAGCCGAGGTCCATTTAATGCCCGCCACCCGCCCTCCGCTGGGGCCGGTGCGTCAACACCAGTTGACGGAGTAACAAGGAAGCGCAACACTCTAAAACGACGTGTAATTTATCACAGCACGAGCAGCATTTAGCCATGAACTGGACGCGTACATTGCGGCTGCTGTGGTTAGTTTTTCTCTGACTTGGCTGTCAGCATCGCTGTCCTCTTCATAATCTCTGCAAACGCATTCAAAGTCGTCATCATCGTCTCCATCTCCATCTCCATCTCCGTCTTCGTCATTTCTTCTCGGTAGGCAAATCTGTTGCATCTGGCAGCGTTTTAATTTTAATTAAGTTTACGCGCTAGTCAGCCCCGGCCAGCCCCTCGCAGCCCACATCGGATTGGCTGCAGCATCAGTGGCAGTGGGTTTTTATGGAACGACATGGCCATAAGCCGAGCCGGCGTACCTGCAGACGGGCTCACTCGCGTGCTCATGGTGATGAGTTGGAGCATTAGCTTTGATGTCTGCTCATATTTATTAGAGCGCAATCTACTTCAAATTATTGTTGACTAGACCAGGAGAGAGATTAATTTAGCCCGATGATGCTCGAGCTGGGAACGAGAAAAAGGAAATTTAGATATACACACAGCTATAAGATATGAAGCATACAAAATCAAAGTCAAAGTATGCAAATCGATAGGTAGATAGACATTTGAAACGACTGCAAGGCCAAATCGAAGAAAATCCAATGCGAATTCCGCTGATGAGGATGTTGAAAGACTTAAACATGCAACATTGCCAAATACAAATTGTCGTTGGCCAAAAAGAGTCATGGCCAGCAGAAGTAGGCGACAAATCTGCTTCTGCATGCGGCCTGCATGCCAAGTGCCAGAGTGGAACAGAGCGGACCAGAGCGGAGTAGACCAGAGGCTGCCTCGAATTGGAGGCTAATGCGACATGGTGCTGCATTGGGTTGCATTGGCTGCATGGTGACATAGCGACATTCGATCGATGCCAAATCGATCCAGATACAGATACTTTAAATCACAATTTCAGCTGAGCGCAAGCCAAGCCAAGTCTGAGATAACAAAAACAACGAAAAATTGAAAAATAGCTGTGCGCACATGTCAAAGGCGGTAGCAAAAAAAAAAATAAAAATAGCCACAACAACAACAGCAACAAAAACAGCAACAGTAGCTGCAGCAACAGCCGCAACTGCGACAGCAGCATTTTATTTCAATTTCAATTGATTGTCGTACAATCGCCATGAATAATTCAATTTTACAATTGCATTGCCCGCTGCTCGCAATGGGCGGCGAGAGCAGGATAGACGCATTGAGTGGGCGCACTGAGTGCAATAGAGATAGACTATCAGACGCGGAACATATTTTAGCCACTGTCTACTGTCTACTGTCTGCTGCTGCTGCTGTTGCTGTTGCTGCTGTTGCTGTCACTGTTGCCGGTAGCAGCAGCAACAACAACAGAGTTGACGACGAAGACGACCACCTATTACACATGATACACACTCGATACTGGATGTACTCGTGCTACCAGAAGAAGCGCCCGATTGACGCACACTAGGAAATGTTTTCAGCGAGCTTAGAGGGTGGGGCAGAGAGGCAGACAGAGAGAGGCAGCGAGCGGGAGATGATGGGTAGCTACATAGAGCACACCGAAAGCTCAGACTACTATATTTGCGAGTTACTTTGAATTCTAGAATCTTAGTACTTTTACCGCTAGAGGTTCCGATTAATGTATATATATAAAAGTTTCTTATATTGTGATTTACATCTATATATTAACTGATAAACTTTGATATGAAACTCATCTTCCAGAAATCATAGTCAACTAACTCGCACTTCAAATTCTACTCCAAGTTCTGCGTTTGCCATTCTGAATGGCTAATACATTACCGGTGTTTAGCTAAATATAAAACTGGTTCATTAGCAAAAATATTTAATATATATATTTTAATTTTAGTATTTTTGCAATTACAGATTTTTACTCATCTTCCATAAATTAAATATGTACATATATTAATTGATGGCGTCAACTGAGTTTAGTTTGGTTTGCTCATTCACTTAATATGCGCTCTCTGGACAATAGGGGAACAATTGTAATAAATCAATAGAAGCTGCTAGATCACATCATCTCTAATTATATTTTATCGCTAAGCTTCTTACAATATGTGTGGAATAACAAATCGGGAAATAGCAATGAATGTTCGCTTCAAGTTCACTGGGTGTGCGACAAGCGAGAGGCTGTCTGGGTGCAAAATGTCCTGAAGTTTTTCGATAATATCCTCTTGAATGTCAGCGTCGAATGAAGTCTTTTAAACCATCGCCAATCAGGATACTACTGTGACTATATAAAGATATTCTAGGAAGGGCAGCAGTTTTATTTTGGCCACTGAGTTCCAGTCTCTCGCTCTCAGTTCCTTTATGAAAATTGTCTTGGGTATTCCCTGAATAATAGCTGAGCTTGCTTAATTAATATATTAATTATGGTTCATCAATTCAAAAGCTATTTGTTGTTAAATTAATTC